AGTGGTGGTGAATGACAATTTAACGAATGACCCGTTATTTCCCCACAGGGGTGCTTTACTGAAGTCTGTCACGTCACAGGAGGCAATTCAGACCAGGTCATTCAGTGTGTGCCTTTGTGCCCCCGCCAGTCTCTTGTGATTATACAGAATTGAGTCATCTCTCTTTGGCCCCATGGCAGAAGGGACCAAAAGAGCTTCTCCTAAGATTACCTAATGCTGTTGTGGTTGGGAAGTCTTCTTGAGATGTCAGACTTGGTTTTGGGTTCTCTCTCCGAATCAGCTAGCGTGAGTGGGGTTGCAGACATCTTCTGACCTCCTAGACACTTGCCTTAGCTGTTGAACCTGCCCCAAAAACATTTGGGGCATTTGCAGCTTTCTTTTTGTGAAAGGCCTTACAGGCCTGTTCTGAAAATGCCTACCAAATCAGGCACCACAAGTGGGATAGCCGGGAGAACCACCAGATTTGAAAATCCTGATATCAGCCCCAGGGCTCCAAGCAACTGAACAGCATCAAGACTTAGCAGGTTTTGCACGTGGCCACCTGCAGAAACTTAACATGCTAATAAGGTTAGGTACTGAATGGAATTTTTTAGCATCTCATTGGCATCTGAAAGCAAGACTTTACTCACTTAGGATGGATTCATCTTGCCTGTCTTTAGACATCCACAGTGTAGATACCTGTGTCTGACTTTGTTACTGCAGCCTTGCTTTGTATTCACTGCAAACAGGCACATTTAGAGCATGATTCATCTGACCTACTTTGCACATTTATGTGAAACTCATCCTTATTATGACACTTTAGTGTTTAAATCCTTGTGATTCTGAAAATGTACTGCCTATTCGTGTCTTTAAAATTATTTGTGAATAATCATGCTGTTATAATAGTCAGAAGGGTTCAATTAGTAGGCTGTCAATAACGTATTCATATTCTTCCTGCAGAGCAAAGCCTTTCTTTGTGTTGAAGTAATTTGTTTTAATTTTGGTGCTCTACAGAAATTATTCAGAGGCTGCTTGTGTGTGTTGGGAATTCTGACATGACTATGGATGTTGTCTTCTTTTGCTTCAGATAAACTTCGAAGAAGCATGCCTAACCTCGCTCGGATGCCAAGTACCCCCACCATTAACAGTAATGCCGGCTTTGCTAGTTCTCCAGTCACCGTGAGGAACAGCCAGAGCTTTGACTCCAATTTGCATGGAGCGAGTAATGGGGTTTCAAGGATGCAGTCGTGTAGTAAGTACCTGTGTTCTTTGGTTGCACGGAAGGAATCAATAGAGTGGTAAAATACATGTCCCAGTCACTGATCCTCCGCTTTATGAAAAATTAAAAGCAGACTGTGTTCCTTTTGCACTATATTTTAATACAGCTTAGGATTTTCAAAGTTTCTGCTTTGGAAAGCAAATTCTGCCAATCTTGTTATGCAGTATTGAGAGTTTCATCACCTCCATCCCCCCCCCCCCCTTGATTTTGTGCCAACTTTAAATTATAATAATTAGTAGTAGTAGTACTGTGGAAGCACCAATAATACAATTAATTCCTACAAGCTTACATTGTTAGTTTTGATACTAGAATTGAAAACTACTTGGTAACTTATACAATGGTGGTTTTACAGTACACTGTATAAATACTATCTTAAAATACATGACCTCTCTCCTACTCAAGTTGCACCACTTTCTTCCAAGCAAATGTGGTAAACAGAGGGTTATATCCTCAAGTATAATATACTTGTTGAGTGGGGGAATTAAAATTACTCTAGTTTAATTTAGGTGACTCCTTGATGGAGGGACGAAGGGAGAGTTGATCTAGTGGATGTTGAATTATTAATGTAGATCATGAACAAGATGGATCAAGATCCAAACCCAACCCATCTTTTCTAGCACAATGGTTGAGGTACTCTGAGAAGAAATAGAAAAAGTGGATTTCATTGGACACAGGCAGGAGAAAGGATTTAACTTATGCCTCCCATGTCCTGTGAGGTTTTGGAGGGAGCAGTTGGCAAAACCTTTTCCTGTGGGTGGGTGTTCTCTTTCAAATTTGAGCAGAATTTACAAATCATAGAATCATAGAATGGTTTGGGTTGGAAGGGGCCTTGAAGATCATCTACTTACAACCCCCCTGCCAAGGACCCCATACCTTCCACTGGACCAGGTTGCTCAAAGCCCCATCCAGCCTGGCCTTGAACACTTCCAATGATGGGGCATCCACAGCTTCTCTGGGCAACCTGTTCCAGTGCCTCACCACCCTCATAGTGAAGAATTTCTTCCTTATGTCTAATTTAAATCTACCCACTTTCAGTTTAAAGCCGTTACCCCTTGTCCTATCTCTACATGCCCTTGTAAAACACCCCTCTCGAGCTTTCTTGTAGGCCCCCATCAGGTACTGGAAGGCTCAAAACTATTAAATCGCACCTTTTCTGGAAAATATACTGCTGGATTTATTTTCTTGTATGTTTGTCCTGTTTGAATAGGAGTAGTTTTTCAGATTCTCACTTGAATTTGCATGGTAGTGTGTTGAGAGTTTAATGTTATTTACTATTTTAGAAATATATATTTCTCTGTGTGTTTATGTGTGTATATATATATGCGCATGTATAAAATGTGATTTTTCTGAAATAATTTTTTGAAAAACATTTCTAAGAAGTGGCTGTGCTGGTGTATTTAAGAACTGTTATGATAAGAGTTCCATAGCAATATATACCCAGTATTATTTGAATCACACATCTATATTTTCTCCTGTGTCTTTAAATGATGTTAAGATGTCATTTTTCAAGGACTTGAAAAATGATTGGCCTGTATGTGGTATGTTAGTTTACGAGCTTCAGGCTTTTGACAGTTTGCTTTTGATACGTGGACTCTGAAACAGATGTGTGTCTGATGTACACCAGAGGGCAGGATTGCGTAGAAGATCTATATGTAAAGCTTCTGGAACCCATAGCATTGATTCAAAATGATAGCTTGCATAACATCGGCCTTGGAATATGCTGTTATATTCAAGACCTTTTTATAGACTTTTTATTGGTTTTATACATAAAGCTTAGACTTCTGTGATGTTTTATAATGCTTCAATGCAAAATTCCTTAAACAAGATGTGGTTATTGCAAGCAACCTTACAAAAATCTAAATGATCTAACAGTAATTAATTTATACCTTCAGCAATTTCTCCTGTTTAAAGCTCTAATTGCGTAGGTGGAATTAGTGTGCTTGTAATGGCTAATGAAACCTCTTTGAGGGGAGAAAGAAGGATCAATATGGGGTGGGATTTTTGTTCAGGATGGGGATGGAACAGGGTATTTTGGTTCAGTGCAGTGTTACTGGCTGCAGTATTGGATCCAAAGGGTTTTTCAGCAGTTTATAATTAGCAAGTAAATTGTATAATGATGTGTTTATCCCTATTCAGATCTATCTAGAAATGAGCATTACTGCCTGGCCTCATCTGTTGCATACTGACCTTGTTACTTCCTTTTCTACCACTCGTTACAGTTCCATCACCAGGACAGCTTCAACACAGGGTTCACAGTGTGGGACATTTTCCAGTGTCTGTCAGACAGCCTCTCAAAGCTACTGCCTACGTAAGCCCAACCATACAAGGTGGTGGTAGCAGTAGTAGTAGCAGCAGCAGCATTCCAGTGTCCAACAACTTGCAGTTATATTCTAACACTGGGATCCCAATGCCAAACAAGACTGCCAGTCAAGGGATTGTAGGGCGCAGTGCTCTTCCAAGACCATCGCTGGCCATTAATGGGAGCGGAATACCCAGAAGTAAAATTGCACAGCCAGTTCGAAGGTAAGAGTTAAACAGACCTCCTTCCCCATGTGGATGGCTTTGGCTTAGATTGTGGTGGTCTGGGTTTTTTTTTCTCCTGAATATGAAGCTGGGCTATAAAGCAGAAGAGTTTCTAGCTCCCAATGCTGAGTCACTGAATGGGTGAAGATTTCTTTCCAGAAATAATGACAGACAGTGCTTGCGGGTAGTTCCTAGTAAACTATGATAATTGATAGAAGGTAATCACATATAAATAAGAATGGATTGCTACCCATCAATAAGAAATCAGAACAAATGGAAACCTTGTATCATTAACATATGTGGCTTGGCTTCTTCCAGACTTGTGCCAACTGCTATTTCAGTGTCACAGGATGAGCAGATCTTAGAGTACTCAGATAGAAGGCATTGCATATCTGTTGTTGTAAATGGCAGTAGATGGTAAAAATACAACTTGTGACGTTATGGCATTGTGACGAAGGAAATAGCCTGGATAGTACAGTCTTGGGTTGAACCAGCATCTTCTCAATTACAGGTGAGAGACAATAGGCAAACGGAATCCTGGAGTATCACATACTTGTAGTGAGCTATACTGTTAAGCAAATGCATTTTTGCATTTTTCCAAGAGAATTTAATCTCCAAATGACCTTTTTATTTAGGGCAAGCAATAGTATAAGCTTGAGGAAAGAGACTGTGTTTTAATCACCTTATCACAGATGGGAGTTAAACTCTTAGCTATATGTTCTATGATTAATAGGTGATGAAGTTTCTCAAAGAGAACCTTCTATCAACTTGTGTCAACTCTTCCAACTATTTTCTCCCATCGCACGTGTCCCTCCTCTTGTGAGGGCCTGTTGTGTGACCACCTGTTTTTCTGTTGGGTGAACTGTCACTGTTTAGCTCTCACCATTTTTATAGTTTTCACTAGATACTGGCTAGATCCAGAATAAGTTCAATTACTCACATTTCCTCTTTGGTTGAGTTACTTGGGGATTACACCAATGTGACTGACAACAGATTGTGACCAACTGCAGTGAAACTTTGATAAAGAACCGTCAGGTTTCTTCTTTGATGAAGACTGTACCGTGAGATTTCTATTATAACCTCCTTTGCTCTCTGCTGGAACTCTCTCTGTTAGAGTTCTTTATAGTAGAGGGTTATCTTTCTTTTTTTCTTTTTCCTTTCCTCCGCTCTATGTTCTGCAGAGCTCTTACGTCTTTCATAGCAACATGTGAGAAAGAGACTTTCTGGGCCATGAAGACCAATCCCTTGCTATTTTGTAACTTTTCGTACAACAGGCAATATTTAAAGAAAAACAAAATTAAGAGGTTTCAGGGGGAGGGTGAGACACTACTCTCAACACTGTTTTTATTAGAAACTGATTTGAATCAGTAACAAAGCTATTTATAGTCCAGAAAGTCTGAGCACCTGTCTTTTCACTTTCAAATGTACCTTAGCAGCATCATATGTTGCTGTAGAGCCAGACTTCTTGATGATAGATGGTCTTTGCACTATGTGAATGACAAGTTTATAGGATTCTAAAAGCACAGGCAGACTGGAGCTCAGCCTACAGTTCTTTAAGACCCTCGTTTCATTTTATTTATTCATGTGGAAAATAAGGGCGGTTTCAGTTCACATGGAATTTTCTTGAAAGGAGTTCAGCCATCAGCGGCAGATTTTCTCACTGTTGATTTTTGTCACTGTGGTCATTTCTAAGGAATGGTATTTCTGATTATCAGTTTAAGAGTCTAGCTTCTGTTAGTATACTGAAAATTAAAGTGGTTTTAGTCATAACTTGATTAAAAGTAGAAAAGGTCTTTTTTTCTTTTAAATCAATCATGTGCAGGGAGAAGTGCACATTCAGGGCAAAGCTGTGTCTTCATGCTGATGGCCAGACTGTTAGGTAGACAAGTTATTGGTATTTTAGATACTTAAAATAGGTTGTTAGACACTTTATATAGGGCCTGCATTAGGGAACTTAAGTATTTACTGCATAGGATCAAGCATGTGAGGGAGTGCTTTTGATAGTTTGTAAAATAAAATTATAATAGCCAAGATAACCAACTTGGCTAAATATTAACTGCTTTTCTCCTTGCCATCACAGGTTCATGCATCCAAAAGCAGTGTAAAGCAATTTTAACAATACAGTCCGTCTCTACTTAGCCTTAGAAGTGAGGCAGCACTTTGTTTTTGTTGAATGGATCCATGCAACCCCCGGTCCTTTCCCACTCCATGCTCTAGGCTTCTTGCAGACCTACCTTCTCACCTCCCATCCCCTATCTGCCAGTCCTCCACTTTTGATCCTTACCTGGGAGCACGATGTGAGGGGCAGCAGGGGCAGCTTCCAGTACGGCAAAGTGAGCTGGGAGCCGAGTAGGACAGCCAGGCTGCCCCACAGTACCCAACCAAGAGCAGCACTGATGATGACCAGGGTCAGCCAACAGTCCCAGCCTCCAGACAAGTCCACGGTGACAAGGCAGGTCCAAGCTAAAGCCAGGAAGTCAATCAACAGGTCAGGGTCTTGATCATCCCAGGTACCAGGCACAGGCATGGCAGCAACATAAGCACAGCTCCGGAGCCAGCGTGGGAGGCTTGCTTGTTCCTGCTGCCTTGTGCTGGAGCCAGATGCTGCAATCCAGCTGATGATGGGAAAGTAGAAAGAGACTACAGACCCTCCAAAACTGTTATCTCAAACCACGTAGCATCGTACTGACAGCTTGTGCTTGTTTGAAACAGTTGTCAACACTAGTGCGTTTTCCTGTTCACTGCCCTGTAGCAGAGATTCAACCCTGGATATGTACCAGTATTCTTACATTTATTTTCAACCTAATTAATTTTTCTTTACTTCTGTCCTCTCCATTTTTTCTTGAAGATTGTTAAACATACTTACATTTTTTTATTTCTGGAAAAAAAGAAATGAAAGCAGCAGTTGCAGAAAATGGCAGAGGCAGGTCATGTTTTATGCTTCAAGTAACTGGATTTATATCAAAGATAAGTGATACTGCAACAAAGTGGAGCTGCTCAAAAGCAGCTTGGCTGAACCTAAGCTTAACCACGTTTTTTACTTAGGTGCAATTTTTTTTGCCACTAAAAAAAGCAGTTGTAGCAGAGAGGCAAGAAGCTGCTCTGGTGACTGCTTTTAACTTACTGACTCTGCCTCCCTTACAACATACCTCTGCCTTTTTCCAGCCAAGGGCATTTGGAAAGGAGAGGAGGCATCAGTAACTCACAGGAAAAGCAGAGAAGTGTGAGAACAAGGCTTAAGACCTGGTTTTATAAGAAACAGTTTCACAGAATTGGGACGCCTTATTTTCAGCAAATTGTGGTTTAACTAAAATACGGTTGCGGCAAATTAGAGAGAGCCTGACTCGTCAGCAGTGAGTTGACAGTCAGATCAAATCTGATGGTTGGTTTTCCTTTTTTTTCAGTCTTCTCTGAAACATTTAACTCTGTGGTACCTGGAGGGTTTCGAAGACGGTCAACAAGCATTTTTTAATAAGTCCTTATTCATTAGTGAGCGATGCAGCTGAGGTGTGAGGGTGGGGGCCCGGAGGACGGCAAGCACCCTGCAGGGTGTTGGTGCTGGAACTGGTGGCTTTCTGACTTCGGCTGTGGGATGGAAACGTGTCGTCATGTGTCTGGATAAGAGTGTCTGGAGCAGGATTTGGTAGAGTTCTTCAACCAATAAGATGCCTAAATTCTTTAGTGTTAGTGCATAGTGTTTTTATGAAGTGCTGGTGTTTGATGAGCTTGCTGAGTACAACAGCTTTTTAGCAAATATTACCCATTAGATCTCTGCTGTCTGTAGTGACAAAAATAGGCTTTTATTGCCTTTAGTCCTGAAGAACCAAATCTTCCCATTTTGAGAGATCTCATGCGTCATGAGAATTATTCACCAGATTCCTTTTTACCAACCTTTTATCCTTTTAAGACCAGTAACAGTAATGGGTCTCATTGGAAGTGGCCTTAATGTCACATTTGCATTAGCATGGAGCAAGAAATATACCAGAGTGATGTCTCCAAACAAGCCACAAAGCCAGTGTCGCTACAGAAGTAAATAAGTTTATTACCTTGATCTTTCACATGAAATATGACTTCTTCTGTCTTTTTTTTTTGTCATCCATTTAATGCAGTTTTCTTCAGCCTCCAAAGCCACTTTCGTCACTCAGCACGATGCGGGATGGGAATTGGAGAGACGGCTGCTATTGATGAAGGATGCCCATCAACAGTGGAAAATAAATAATGCGGATTTCATTACCCAGCTGGCTGGGTAATGATGATTTGGGAAAGGAGGGTCATACAGTATTATTTCCCCCGGGATTTTAATATGTAACTATCCATAATGCAATGTCATTTTTAAAAAATGAACATCTTATCAAATACTAAATATTGCACTTAATCAGTTACCTGAACAGCTGCGTTGTTATCAGACTAACAATGGCAGTGTTGGCATTTGGAACTGAAGAAAGTATTACATATGTACAAAGTACCAGACTATTTCCTTGGAAAGAACTAGGAGATAATGCTTTCTGGGCAGCTTTGCTGTACTGAAATTCTAAGGTAATTTATTCAGTGTAAAGGCATCATGTATTTTATTTTGAGTTTGGGGGGACTTATGTATGTGCTTGAATTTTTTTCTAGTGTTTCCAGTACATTTTATTTTGTATACTTAAGTTCTTTTAAACTTGCCTGAACCTTGAACAACAGAGAGATAATTTAACTTTTCTGTGCCATAAATAATATTTTTGGGGTAATGTACTTTTTTAGCGCTAGGAACATATCTTACAAAATGGTACCATTGGCAATACAAAGCAGTATATTTATGTTGCAGAAGCACAAAAAAAGTAGCATTCACTGGAAATTGCCATCCAGCTGGGTCAGCGTGGTTTTGTTGGTCTTTCACCATTTGTTCAATTGTTAATTTATTGTCATAGTGTTTTGTATTTAAAATGGCAGCATAAGTCACATTGCACTTACAAAGATACAGTGATCTCTAAAACTACAGTTGGTTTTCAGTACTTTATTACAAAGAATAAAATTGTAATGTTTTATTAACAGTTGCTTATGGAAAATGAGTTTTAATGCGAATAAATCTTTTTGATAGATCTTTTACAAAATCCAATTGCACTAATCAATGCTTTCTTATAATGGCATATGACTTAATATTTGATTACAACTGTGTATACTGCTGTTTTGGAATGTTTCAGAAATAAAGAATCTATTTCAGCAATAATGCTGTTCTTGAGTGTGGAATGTAAACATTGTTAGAATTCACCAACTGACATCTACTTAACTCGTGAAGTTTTTATTACTTAACATTTAGATTATGATGGATTTTTGCAAATAGTAACAAAGTTAATCTGAAAATTTTTAAAAATCTTATAAATTTATGTTACAAAGCCATTTATGCATAGAAGACAGACAAGTATTTTAAAATCAATCATTAATTTTTTTCAATTTAATGTTCAGATTCTGCAAGTGCAAATGTGACTTGCAATGGGAAACAGAGATTGTGTACCAAGTGAATCGTTCACCGTCGCTCTGAATTTGCTCGAGAACCTGTTTTTCTTAAAAGGGCCAACTAAAATAAAAAACAAAGGAGAAGCATTTAGTGGTGAGTAAAACCTTTATTACCATGAGAAGTGATTCTGTGGTAGTGCAGTATTATCTCTGTGCAGCATAATATTCTTTAACAGAGATAAACAATTCATTTTTCACACTTTAGTTCTTTTAATCCAGTTAAAATCCTTTTTTTTTTTTTTTTTTTAATGCAAAGAAAAGCAGAATGTTTAAGAGGGTATCAAGAAATATTCCAGCAAGGAAGTTAATTCTGCACAGGTAAGTATTTCAGCATGAGTGTGTGGAGCTCATCGTGTTCATAAGAAGCTTTAATTGGAAGAAATTACTTCTGGTTAAAGCAGTCAGTCCTTTGTGGACAATCTCTGTTGTCTTGAATGGTTTATCTTGCTTACAGACTGATCGTGGTGGGGGTGCAGAGCCAGCTCAGGGGCTGCTTTGCTGTTTGCCTGTGATGAGGAGGGCTGCAGACCCTCCCAAATGAATAAGCTCTCCTGGCTTCTGGTGCTAGGAACGCAGCACAATCTTTTTTCATAAAAGATGGCTGGAGACCAGTGGCAATGATTAGCTTCTGCTCGTTGCTGGTGCTACCAGCCTTGGTCTGGGCTGTCTCTTCACTGTTCCCTAGTGCTGGGATTTTATCCCTGTTCCTCCATTATCTGGGACACCACAACGCCATGGTATTCTGAATTTTTAAAGTAGGTTGCAACTGTTTGAGGTAATACTGAGTTGCACACTGGAGGGCAGTATATACTTTGAAAATGTTTTCTTCTTGGCAGCTAAAGCTCTTCTGTTTCCCAGGCTCTTGGTTTCAACCCAGTGTATATGTTTCTTTCCACTGTTGTTTATGTATGGTGACAACATGTTAAAGGGAAGTGCCCAACTGTTTGTGATTTGCATTTTTAAATGTCACACTACAAAATGTGTCATGAACTGGAGAGTCGAGCATTTTGGATATAATGAGCTCTTTGAGAAGATGCAGTTGGTTTTCCCTTTTTAATTGTCCCGTTCCCTCACAGGACATGCTTTCATCATGTCAGGATTTGGTAACCTTACAGCTTTGCTGTTTTAAGTGTTTTTTTGTCAAGTATCTGTCACATTGGATGCCATCAAACTTTAGGAGGAAACCCAAGGTGTGAGCAGCTTGATCTCTTCTACACCTAAATCAACAGAATCGCACTCGTTTCAACCATGGGCTGTGGTACTGCTGCGGTTTGCCTGTAGCTGGGGGAGCTGACTGTCTCCCCTGAGATTAGCATCAACAAACCAGATACTACTGCACAGTGTCACGTACTTCACCAGTCTCACTGGGAGTAAAACGTGGAATATACAACACGAAACCACTTCTGTCATGCCTGATTTTGTGAGAGGCAGAATCTCCTCCAGGGCAATGGGAAAGAGCAAGGCCACACAGTTATCTTTAGAATTAAAGGCTCAAACTTATTTTTCACAACCAAAGTTTCATTTCTAAGTATAAGGAAGCATTTGAGAGCTCTCTCTTTGCCCCCTCTTTGGTTCTTCTCTTTTGGTCCATGAATGCAAATCCCACTCCTGTCTCCTTGTTGCTGCATCCCACAAATGACCTGCCTCCTTCTGTCCAAACTGTAGTCTTGGGCTCAGCTCTTGAGCTGATGGCTGTCATGACTCTCAACCTTTTTCTCTAAGGTTTCTTTCCCCTCCCTTTTTTGTCACTGGGGATAAAACCTGCATTTCCAGTCATTCAGCCCATAACTTGGGCACTGTCTTTGACTTTTCTACAACCTAATATTCTGGTTAAGTCAAAGTTTTGCATGCTTTGCGTAATAAATTGAAGATATAAATATCTCTTGGTTGTTCGTTTTTTTTTTTTTTTTTTTATCCCTACAGATAGCGCATTCATCCATGATCTCCTCACTTGAAGTCATTTTTGGCCTTGTAGTGTCTTCAGCATGGGAAATCTGTCCGAACTAAACTGATAAGATTATCGTCCTGTCTTCCTGCTTTGACCACGTCACTGCTTTGGCCACTTCTTGTGTTGCTACTGATTTCCTCTTCTCAATGGAATACAGTTAACAGGAGTTACAAGCTAGTTGTACTCTTTTACAAAGCCATAGACACTATTCCATCCCTCTACTAGTTTCTCACTGAGTGTTGAAGGGAATTCCCCTAAGTCCATGACGCCAGTCTGTGCTGTGCCTGTTGCAAACAAAGCACCTCGTAGGTCCCTTCCATGTTGTCCGTCACTGTGTGGGGAATCCCCCATAAACATAAGGGACTTCATTTTTATTCACCCTTAAATTCTTCCTTAAAGGCTTTTCCTTTGGTGTAGTACCACTAAAAGCAGGACTACAGTTAAATGGCCAGCATCTTCTGATCGCTCTTGAGCCTGTTAACGAATGCTGCCTTGTCATTTTTTCTTTCTCTGATTGGTGTTTTTTGCCATACCTAAATCACAAGTTGTTGGAGACATGGACTCCTGTCTTTTCCCTTTATGTTTGTACACCATGAAGCCCAGGGTCTCAGGCCCAACATTACAATGTCTGTATGCTAACATAAATACTAAAAATTAGCATCTTCCTATGGAAAACACTATTTAAACATCCACTATGAATGATGAGTAAGGCTTCATAATTAAAAATAATTGGGGGAATAATGCACACTCTCTCTCAAAAACAGATTTGTTGTGTTTAATCCTTGGCTATGACTTACCAATTCAGAAATTCTGGATAAAAAAGGAAATGACTAAGCCCAGATGAGTTTCCCTGTCACCACTGTGGTGAAAAGGGTATGTCTTGGCTGGTCTGGTTTAATTTTCTGTTTCCCAGCTGATCTGAGTCACATTTCAATTGCAATATCCCCTGCAGTCCATCTGCTCAGCCATCTTTTTCCTTTTGCCTACACTTCCAACTCATGCTCTTCCTAGATTCCCACCTTTCTTGTGACGCCTGTCAGTGGTTATGTGTGCTCTTGTGGCTGATGCGGTTCCTGACCATCCACCTGCACGTTCCATTGTGGTGGGCTGACCCCGGCTGGGCACCGGGTGCCCCCCAAGCCGCTCTGTCACTCCCCTCCTCAGCTGGACAGGGGAGAGAAAATACAACAAAAGGCTCCTGGGTTGAGACGAGGGCAGGGAGAGATCACTCACCAATTGCTGTCATGGGCAAAACAGACTTAACTTGGAGAAATCAGCTTAATTTATTACCAATCAAATCAGAGCAGGGTAGTGAGAAGTAAAACCGAATCTTACAAAACATCTTCCCCCACCCATCCCCCTTCTTCCCGGGCTGAACTTCACTCCCGATTTCTCTGCCTTCTCCCCCTGGGTGGCACAGGCCGACAGGGAATGGAGGTTGCAGTCAGTTCATCACACGTTGTCTCTGCCGCTCCTTCCTCCTCAGGGGGAGGACTCCTCACACTCATCCCCTGCTCCAGCATGGGGTCCCTCCCACGGGTCCACAGGTCTTGCCGGGAGCCTGCTCCAGTACAGGCTTCCCACGGGCAGGGGAATCTCTGCTCCGGCACCTGGAGCACCTCCTCCCCCTCCTTCTTCACTGACCTTGGTGTCTGCAGGGTTGTTCCTCTCACGTATTCTCACTCCTCTCTCCAGCTGCAATTGCGCAGGTTTCTTCCCCTTCTTAAATATATTATCACAGAGGAGCTACCACCGTCGCTGATGGGCTCAGTCTTGGCCAGCAGCGGGTCCGTCTTGGAGCCGGCTGGCATTGTCTCTGTTGGACATGGGGGAAGCTTCCAGCAGCTTCTCACATAAGCCACCCCTGTAGCCCCCCCGGCTACTAAAACCTTGCCGTACAAACCCAACACCCTCACACAGCTATTCTGCTCACTCACCAGCCTGGGGAGCAGGTCCTCGGTGCATCTTCTGTGTCCATCGTTGGGACTTTCAGCTGTTACCTGGCAAGGTAAGCAGTTATACTTAATCTGAATTAATGACAATGGAAGGGAAATTCAAGGCATGAAGAGACGCTAATAGGGCTGACAGGTTGCTAATTAATGCCAGAGTTGGTGATCCCTCAGCAGGGTCGCACCTTTGCTCTCTGATCTGACCAAGCTGCCTGTTAGTTCCAAGTGCAATTCAAGGGGTTGGCTTTGACCTAAAGAGGCCCGAGAGATTATCTTTCTACATGTGCAGTTCAACAACACTTTTTGTAAAGCATCTCACGGAAGGAAGGAAATGAGGGGTTAGATAGGATCATTCTTGAAACCTCATTCCTCCTAAATGCCAAGCGTTTAGGTGGTTTTGGCATTACAAAGCTCTTGCTTTGCTTTTTGTAAACAAAAAAAGAATAGGTACGGGGAGTCCTTTGGTGACTAAATACTGATTTTGGTGTAATCCTTATGGCTTATTCGTGACTGCACCACTGAAGGTTTGGCATTACCAAGCAGTTCATGTAGCAGTGCAGCACTCATTGCGATAGCCTATTTTAAGCATCCTGAGCCTATAAGGGGAAAGGGGAGAGGTGGAAGGTCAGAAGTTTAGAAGTCTTGGTATGAACCCTGTTGTAGCTACCATTTTCTGAACAGTAGCTCTGTACATGTTTGAAATGTCATTATGATATATTTTTGCAGATCCCAGCATGTTTTGGCCATGACTAGCTCATGTGGCTCCCCAATCTGTTTGAGAGCATGTGTAAATAAGTGCCAATTTCTCTGCGT